TATTTGCATGTTTTGATTGTTGCACTTTTTTTTCTTGGCTCAGTTGGCAACCTTTGCAGGTCTAGTAGAAGAATGGATTGTTGGTGCAACACCATTGACATCACCGATGGATGTCGAGTGGAGGCATGGTAATTTTCTTGCTTGACCTTGTTTCCAATCCGACGGCACTCTATCTTGTGTTCTAGTAACATTCTTATTGATGTTTATTCAAGTAGCAACCAATGTGTGACATGCCTTTCTTGTTCCCTTTTTGGTTGATTAGCAATCATATTTTTGCTATAACTTGTGTTTGCATCATTTATCACTTCGGTGTAACTTTTGACATTGTTCTCGCAATCGTGCAAGTTGAAGCCGAGTGATAAAGAAGGATATGGTGGAATTTGATGGTACGAAGTACTGGAAAAAGAGTTTTATGGGCATCATATGAAAAGAGATCCAATAGCATGGACTTTGAGTATCGACGCTTGGTGAATGAAAGCGTATGGTGTTGTACAAGTTATTGTGAATCCATGGAACAAATGTTGATTGTGTGTTGTGTGGAAGTAACATTGTCTTTGTAGATTCATGGTTAAACTTGTTGTTGTTGTTGGCTGGAATTTGAACTCAGCATGATCATGACATGGTTGGTAGTTTGAATTTGAAATGTTAAAATCACCATGAGCTCTTGTTGTTGGCGCCATTATTTGAACTTTTAAAAGATACTGATGGGTTGGAGGTTGGTTGGAGGCAGAATCGGTCGGGTTGGGTTGGTGGTCCAAATTTTAGCCCTTACCAAATTACCATCAACACTCTGTTGGAGATGTGAGCACGAGAGGCTCGTCCGGAACGCGGCGTCATTCGGTGGTTTCCAGAGCACAAGCTTATACAACATCTAGAAAGTATATTCTAGGCATCTGGATGTTTCGGTCTTGTACGGTGGCAACCAAATAGTGGGACATGTGGGCCCCACGCAGATATCTAGGATGTAGTTGCACCTACACGGTTTGCTGCCTGATTGACTGGGAGCCACTGGCTGGGTTGTCTGGCCAGCCCTCTCACATAAACACTATTTACGTGAACCAGCCAGCAGTACTTCTCTCTCACATAAACGAACCAGCAACGATACGAACCAGCCAACCGAACATGCTTTTGATCCGAGCAACCAAACGCTACACGACATTAATTTCTTTTATTTACTAGGTAGCGTGTTTATGCAGTGCTACGGAACAACTAAATCTTTTGTAATAAAAACACACAGATCGTACGATAAGATAACAATACTGTTAAATTAAATACCGACGTCAAAGTGACATTTAATTCAAAAAACAAAGTTCGTGAAATTAACACAGTCACGGAGAGCGCAACGTCACAGGCTCACAAACTCTACTGCATAGACTTTTTCGTGATACGACTAAGATAATATTTTATATCGGTAGAAAGACGATATCCATTTCTTTCGTGCGCTAATAAATTCATGAATAAGTTTCACTGCATCTTCATATAATCATGTACACATAGGTTCGAGTATATATACAAATGGGTTCGTGCCCGTGCGTTGCTACGGGACAGCTAAACTTTTGTATTAAAAATACACGGATCGTATGATAAGATAACAATACTGTAAAAGTATACGACCGACGTTAAAGTGATATTTAATCCAAAAAGCTAAGTTCGTGAAATTTACATAGTCACAGAGATCGTGACGTCGTAGGCTCACAAACTCTACTGTGTAGATCTTTCCGTGATGCGGCTAAGATCATTTTTTATACCGCCAGGAAGAGATTTCCGATATCCATTTCTTTCGTGCGTCAACAAATCCATGAATAAGTTTCATCATATCTCCATACCATCCTGTACACGGCGCTGGCAAGCGAATTAGCCACAACTTATGTAATTAGTTTTATAATTAGCTCATGTTTAATCCTTCTAATTGATATCTAAAAATTCAATATGACAGGAACTAAAATTTAGTCCTGGGATCCAAACACCCCTTAACTCTCGACTCCTACTGGCTGTTCACTTATACCACCATGCCTATGTGCCTGCACGTATATACTCTAATGCCAGAACGTCTAAGATGGTCTTTATTGTCCACCCTTTGAAAATATCATAACTTTAAGGTTGCCATTTGTGTATACTGTAGGATTATGATGTTTTGCACTGATCCATATGGGTGTCCATGAGAGTCGAAATTTTTGATACCATTATGATGTCTAAGTTTACCAATCAGGCAGAGACGAGATTGATTATTAAAATATTTTCAACACTGCTTTCATATATTCCCTCTGTCCTAAAATAGAATTCATTCTCGCTTCCCGAGAAGTTAACTTTTTTTAACTTCGACCAATTATATATAAAAGAATATTAATATTTATAATACATAATTAGTATCATTACATAGATCATTGAATACATTTTTATAATAAACTTATTTGGATATATAAATATTGCACGTATTTTTTACAAATCAAGTCAAAGTTGAGAAAGTTTGACCTGCACGCATCCCATAACGACTTATATTTTAGGAAAGAGGAAGTATATGCTAATGGGAGTAGTCAACTGGAAGTCGTGATGAACACAACAATACTTTCATATTATATGCTAATAGAGCACAAAGAAATGCAGGGGAATGGACCTATATACTAATGGTGGGAATATTCGTTTAGAAAATTGCAGAAGGTTCACCAGCCTCACCATGTATAACCTGCACATCTTTTATTTGGCACCACTGATGTTCTCAAGGAGCTGCCACTTTTTAATTTCAGGTCTGCATGCTGGAAACACTAAAATTAAGGGCTAACCTCATTGAGTCGTCTTGCTTGATCTTTATCAATTGTCTTGCTTGAGCTTTGCGAACAAATTATACCATTGACAAAGACTAACACATAAAGAGGTAGAAGTTGCAAGAATAAAGCTAGGTGGTCTACTATGCACTCAACCTAAATTTAATACCCTTCAAATTATGGACAATACCATATGATTCGGTTTACGTGGAGATGAAAGATATCCGACCGAGCGAGGGAGGGGCACCACATGATTGTTTCCTTCCATGCATGATTATTGTTTCCTTCCATGCATGTGGCCTCAGGTGGTCGATTTGTTTCCTTCAAAGCAGGCGGGGATCGCATGGATGACAGTTTCTTTTTCTATCACGCGGTGTATGATTATTGTTTCCTTCCATGCATGTGGCCTCAGGTGATCGATTTATTTCCTTCAAAGCAGACGAGGATCATAGGCGTGAACAGACGGACGAACCAAAATAAATGTCGCACCAAAAAATATCTATATTTTATTCTTTTTAGTTGCGCGTAGGAGATAACACCTAGATTTAATTTTTAGCCCGGTATATATCAAACACCCCTCGTTCTGACGCGTGCGCGCTAGGCAGGCGTCCGTCTCAGTCAACGAGTAAGTCAACGTTAGTAAGCAGTGCGGACCCCACACGTCAGCTGAGGGACAGCCCGTCGGCTGCGGACATCTCCGGCCCCGAGCGTCGCACTCGCACCACGCCCGAGCCGGGCGGCCGGGACGGCGCCCCCGCGCGCCGCGCGCCGGGCCGCAGCCACGAGCCCGCGCTCTTCTCCGTCCTCGTGCGCATCCGCACCCGCCGCTCACCTTTCTGGGTACAGACTACAGGGGTATGAATGCTGCGGACATCTTTGTCCCCGTCTCCGGCGGCGTCCGTTGAGCTCGGCGGCGCGGGAGGACGTCGAGCACCTGCTCTGGGCCACCTCCTGCATGCATCCCCATCCCCATCCGAGTAAGCTAGTTTTTTTTTCCCTTCTCGTGCAAAGGCTGCGCGGCTTCGTGTGGTACTGTGGCTGGGTCCAACAAGTGACTGAAGTGAGATTGTACTGTAGGATCTTGTTTATTCATTTCTTCTTTTCAAGAAACAGGAGGGGTAATGGCCCCTACTTGTTAACTTGTTTATTCATCTGGCTGTCCTGGTATTTTTGCATCTGTACAATTCTTTTTTCTTCATGTCTCAGTGCAAGCGAGGAACTTTTGTACTCTGCAATCTTTTTCTTTCAGTAAGGATTAAGGAAGGAAGTACTCCTGGGATTTAGTTCTCCCAGCAATTTTGTTCCTTTAATGACCGAAAATGATGCTAGTTTTGATTAGACCAGTGTTGCTTCACTGCATTGTTCAGTAGGATTAGTTGAAGCAAGGACTTGCCAAATTTTGTTTGTTTGATAATATAATATAACTAATGCGGCCTTCTGTGAATCAGATTGGAAGTTTGTTGCGATATTATTAAGAAACAGAGGTGATTGGGATTGCCCTGAGAAACAGGGGGTGGAATCTGTGTACTGGGTGCTATTTGTGACAATAGGGTGGGGGCCTGCCGGGTAAGTTGGATTATCCATCCTTTGCCGGACAGGAAAAGGTCTATCATGACGACACATTGAACCCACTAGATACCTAAAAAGTCAAAAATGATTAGACCTGTATTTTGGCCTCCCTTGTTTGAAAATTGATCTTTAGATGACCCATATGCTTCATCAGAAAGACAAAAAGATGAGTTTCAGATTTCATCAAGGTATTGAAGCATTGTTGGGACATCAAGTCTATGTTGAGTTCTTTTAACCAAAATGGTTATAGCATGGACCAAAATAGTAAGTAAAATGAATGGCATGGGATCTCCTTACCCAAGCCACAGCAAATTTGTAAATAAAACACTGTGTCGCTTTTCTTTCCTTTGTTCCAATTCATGGACTCTTTTGTAGAGTGTCAGTGTGTCACACTGTCAGTGCCTTTTATAAAAGGCAGTCTGAATGGCATCGAAGCTTTGTAAAAAGTCTCTCATTCCTAATCACAAAAAAACTTTCATGTCGTTAACCTGATAGCTGCAGACTGTTGACTGTGGGGAGATGGGAAAGCTTACAGGGGAAGTAAAAGATAGGTAGCCTGAAAATATCAATCTGTGCATCATTCTGACCTTTAGAAAACTCCATTGCTAGCTCCTCATCCTCTTCTCGCTTCACCTACTGCCCTCTCCTCCCTCAATTGTTGCAGCTGCCATGGGAATACCTTCTTTCTATAAGTGGGTCGTCAACAAGTACCCAAGCATCATCTCCCCTGTGAAGGAGGAACCAGAGGAGAGCCCTGATGGCATCATCTATGACAACCTCTACCTCGACATGAATTGCATCATCCATTGTTGCTTCCACCCACAGGACCAGATGCATGCAGACATAGATGTATCTACACATCTTAATCCATGCGAATCTGGCTAGTATTAATGTGTGTGTTCACTCACCATTGCAGGTGTGCCCTCCGATGACAGTCAGTGAGGTGTTTGAGTCTTTGTTTGAGTACATGGACCGCTTGTTCCGCATCGTCAGGCCAACAAGGCTCCTCTACTTGGCAGTAGGTTTGTGCATAGATCTTTAAATATCAAATTGAATTGAATTCTTTAGACGCCTCCTCTTACTGCAGTGTACATTAACAACGAGCAAGAGTACTTTCAAGTGTTAAGGATGATGTTGGTTACCTTCAATTATTTGAGCAATTTAGTTATACATGCATGAACTTTCCTATTTGTTTCATGTGCAGATGGTGTTTCTCCTTGCGCCAAAATGAACCGTAAAGCGAAGGGGCGTTTCCACTCTGCCAGGCTGGCAAGAAGTGAGGTCAATGCTTGCATATAATTTTCTACATTGACAGTGTGATACATGCATGATGTCTGCTATCTGCTGAAACAATCGAGAAATGCGTCCATGCTTCAATTTGCAGGAGATTGAAGATTATGAAATGCGGAAGGAATTAAGAGCTCAAGGGAAGGAGGAGCCACCGCGAGAGATTTCTGAGGTTCCTGACCCCAATGTCATCGCCCCAGGTACCGAGTTCATGGAGAGGCTATCACAAGCCCTTGAGTACTACATCCGTGCCAGACTTAATAGTGACCCCTGGTGGAGAGACATCATGGTTTGCTCTTGTGCTTTAGTAAATTCAATTTATGTTCTTTTTTCTCTTCTTGAAGGAAAGTTCATGTTCATTTCAACTTCAACCATTTGACATGCATGCTGAAAGTATTGACAAACATTTACTTGCTATTCAACTTGACCAAGTGGATGTTGCTGATAAGTTTAATACATCTGTTCTGAAGGTAATACTCTCCGATGCGAATGTTCCTGGAGAAGGAGAGCACAAGATCATGTCTTTCGTCCGTGCACAACGCAGCATGGAAGGCTATGATCCCAACACTCGACACTGCTTGTTTGGGCATGTAGGGAATATATATATCAATCGTTTTTCTTGATGATCTCATCATTTCTAATGTTGTGTATCACTGATCTAGTTTGCATCCTGTCTAGCTATTTGTACTGGGGGTTAACTGTGAAGAATCATTGCAGGATGCAGATCTGATAATGCTTGCTTTGGCATCTCACGAAGTCCACTTCTCTATTTTGCGTGAGGTCTGTTAATCCCTCATCAATGCTAATTTCATGGTTAAACATATTGCATCACATGCTTAACTAATTTAAGTTTTTTTTAGCGATCGTGTCTCGCACGTATTTCATTAGAGGAAGGAGTTTGAGTTTACAAGAGGCAACCCACGGCTTGCCCAAACAAGTTATATACTATTTACTAGGCTAGGATCTGTGTAAAGTTTTAACTGTCAAAGTAACTAGTCCAGCACTTTATAATGGTATGCACTACTCTTCTGTTTAACTTCAACAGGATGTGCTCTTCCCAAATCAGGCAGAAACAGAAGGGAATCCGAAGAAACCATTTCTGGTCCTCCTCACCTCCCAACCCCAGATAATGCCACTCATATACTCATTTTGATACACGAATAACACCATCTTCTTTCAGTTTTTGAACATATGGGTTCTGAGAGAGTACTTGGAGATTGAATTCAAGATACTGGACCCGGTCTGTGAGCCTGATATTGAGAGGCTAATAGATGACTTCATCTTTATTTGTTTCTTGATGGGAAGCGATTTCATCCCACATATTCCATCACTTAAGATGCATGAGGTATCTGTGCGTGTGTAACCTTTAGATTATGGCAGTAGCGTAATAGACAGTTAACTTTGTTATCACTATATACTGTTGAGTAATTTGCTGCTCCCCTGTATGAACGCACGGCAGGGATAGGCGCCGAAAAGGCTCCTCCTCGCCTACTTGTAGCCACAAAGAAAGTGCAGAGGCGTCAAAAAGTCACCTGCTATCACATCTAGTCCTTTATAGCGACATGATAGCTTTGACATGTCGTGTACTAAAATTAGA